TTTTGTTTTGGTGTGTTGTGTACGGTCTTTCTGCTTTATGGACCAGTGCACACAGCATTATTATTTGGCACCCAACGTGGGGCACACAGCAATATATTAATAAATAAGAAAGTTAAAATTGCCCAGTGCTATACGCTACCGAATGCAAAAAAAAACGAATTAAATATCTTGAAAACTGTGGGAGTAGTTAAGGCCTCAGACAGACGGACACACGGACGGACAGAGAAAGTGGCTGCAATAGAGTACCCAATTTCGTTGGAAAATGCGCTAAAAAGATACAATACAATGTTTAGTTTAGAGCGATCTAACGCAAAATAAACCCTTAAAGCGGATCTAAAAAGCGGTAGAGCGAGCACCTCCGTGTGACTCTACGGAGTCATTGGGTTTGGCTCAATTTCATATAGGGTTGCTATTACATGTAGTATATAGGTCAACCGAGAGGTCAACTGTGCAAAGTTTTAACCGAATCAGTCCATAATCCAGTTAAATTGTATTTTTACAAGGAAAGTTGTGGGGTAGTTTTGATTGCTTTGATTATATATGTTTTTTGGAGTGCTGAATCCGAATCTGAGGTTTGCTAACAAAATTTCATGACGCAACATTGAAAAAAATACAAAAAAACATGAAAAAGACTTTTTTTGCAGTTTTGTGCCTTACAACTCGAAAACTAACAACTTTTCGAAACTAACCTTCCTATTCAAAATGCAAGTACATAAAATTTCTTACAGATTCCACTATTTAGTTTTTTTCCTCGATGAACTGTTCGGACTCAAGCGCCAGTTGAAAATTGGCGTATTTTGGTTGTTTCCACAAAACATAGTTTTTTCGCACTAAAACCCTAAATTAATATTAAGGGTTGGCAATAAGTGAATTCCTTGCATTTACCTACTATTATTTGAATTTTATATGTAAGGGTGATTTTTTCTCATTTACATAACGTTCAAGGTGTTTATTGTAGTCCAGAATTGTATGAAAAGTTAATTTCTAACGAAAAACAGTATACATATATTATTATATTATTTATAATATATAATACTTATACTGTGCTATCTAAAACTATTCCCACTCTCTTCCGAACCAGATAAAGAAATCACAAGACCCTATCGTAGAATGTTTGGATAATTATTGTTGAATGTGGGAAAGTGTTCCTGTGGTCATTATTAATTCAAAAAATTCAAATGGCAAAAGAGGTATATTGATTCCTATTCGACGGCATTATCCTTCTTGTCCCGGTGTTCTGAAGAATCACGTAGTCCTCGGAGTGGGGGTAACTGCGTTACCCCAGCTTAAATTTGTCTGTTAACAACTGAACCGGATTTATTTCTTTTCTTTGCATGTTAACGAGCGACAAAAAGCGAGTTCATGATTTTAGACTGTCCGTCCGTCTATCTGTGTTACTTTGTGCGTTTGTGTATATACAGGGTGGTGCCTAGCGCAACGCTGCATAGGGATTTCAATGGTAATTTCTTTATAGTCAATAGGGTCTTCCTGAAAAAAAAAATTGTAACTTTTTTGTGTCTTACTGTAAAGTTTATAACCTGTAATTAAACATCTCATATACAAAACTTTCTTTCTAATTGCAACATATCAGGAAACAATATATAATATCGTAAAACTTTCAAATTTTCTCATGCAACCGACGACATGCCGATATTGGCCGAGCGTCGCTTACGTCACTACGCGGGTTGCCGATCGGGAGTTATATTAGTGCATGACACTGATAGGAGTTCGATTCGACTTATTATGGCAATCTGCCATAAACCGAGTTCTGACTGGTTCGTAAAGGGGCAGTTAGATAGTCTGTCAAAGGTTGAAGTGTTAATGGTCGCCGCCTTTTTCTCGAAAAGTGAGTTTTTCCATGCCACTCGTTTGAGTGGAGTCAAAGCCCAGAAGCAAATCTGTTATGGTTCATAGGAAGTATAACATCCAGTATTGTGTGTATAGTGCAAGGTATAGTGTAGGTACCTAATAAAGTATGCACCTTACGGGTTTCAACGAGAAAATTAGGGTGTTGGATATGTGGAAGTGAAAATAGAGAAAAAATGTGTGCACTGTAAGGGCACAGATATGCCCAGAACAGAGTTCGAAGTAAATCATATTTTGAATTGCAATTACAATATTACATATCGATGGATTTTCGTCGATAACTGACTGAAAGTAAATCGACATTATGTACTTTAATTAATTAGAATCGTCTTCACAACAATACAAATGGGATGTCAAACTCGCGGTATCACGTCGAACTTTTTTCGTATATTTCTTGTTGGGACGTTTATATGCCTACAATTTATTAGGTTCGCGATGATTTCTGCTATCACACCCAGGCACAAATGCAATAATTATTCGACGCTTTTTTCCGTCAAAACGACGTTTTCTTTCTCTGAATCGATTGTAACCAATGCTACGGCTGAGCGCCAACGTGCGGAGTGACGTCACAGCAACGTGGCGGTCATTCGAAACTTTTCAAACGCCGTTCATTTTAAAATCGTGTTTGCTAATCACAACGATTTCTCCTGACAAAAAAATGAGTACCACTAATTTTTTTAATGTGCTTGGAGTTCATTTTCAAGGTTTTTGAAAAAACGCGGAAAACCCAAGTCAATTACTAGCTCCCCTAATTATTTTAGAGCAAAAGTCTAAATAAGTTTTTTTTAGAGAAAAAAATACTGCATCTGTTCATACTTTTAATTATAATTTTCCATTTTTCAAAACTGTAGAAATCGACAAAATAAAAAATTAACATTTTTATAAATCAGTGATGCTTTGGAATCTTTCAATAAACTACAAGCGCATCGCATCTAGTTTTCGTTGTTTGACGTCGAACGAATTTCATATTTAATTCTGTTACAACTATCCGATGCAAGAAAAAGTGGCAATTGAGTAATGTTTTTTTTAGAGAATGTATGCTGCATCTGCATCAGATACTACTTGTTTATCAGAGAATCAGAGTACCTACATAGTAATCGAAGAAAAAAAACTGATTTGAAGCAGATTTGTTCCTAAACTTATATTCGGATTTTCCGCTACTGCAGCCAAAACGTTGAATGTATTGTCGTTTTCCTGATGGTTTTGACGGACATTTTGAACGTTATTGGTGCACTTGCAGCTCTTTAACTAATTTATAAACAAGTATAAATTAAATATATGCCAAAGGCAAATAATGAAACGTGATCGCTGTTTTTTTAGGTAATTCCCAGGCATATTTGATTTATTGTAAAATGAACCTTTTTATTTTGTCGATTTCTACGGTTTTGAAAAACGGAAAATTATGAGTAATAGCATGAACAGATTCAGTATTTTTTTCTCTAAAAAAAACTTATTTAGACTTTTGCTCTAAAATAATTAGGGGAGCTAGTAATTGAATATAAAGAAATTACCATTGAAATCCCTATGCTGCGTCGCGCTAGGCACCACCCGGTATGTGTATGGGAGGAGGGCCTCGAGACTGCAAACGCAGGTACACGGTAACGTAATGGGCCTTGGCTCATCTGTGAAGGAATGGGAGAGTTTTATACCAGACAGAACAGTTATAAAATCTTTTGAGGAGACCGGTAGACAATGTAAACTACGGATTTATATTTGCACAGAATAATGATAAAATAATAATAAAAGATAGTATTTGCGGATACAATCGAAATACGCCAATTTTCAACTGGCGCTTGAGCCCGAACGGTTCATCGAGGAAAAAAACTAAAGCGTGGAATCTGTAGGAAATTTTATGTACTTTCATTTCGAATAGGAAGATTGTTTGCGAAAAGTTGATAGTTTTCAAGTTGTAAGCACAAAACTGCCAAAAAATATCTTTTTCAACTTTCAACGGATTTAGGGGAGGGGGCTATGGGACTATTAGCCCCCGGCGGTAAATTTTGAGAGGCGGTAGGTTGTCGCTCCCATCACGTTTTAATTCGTTTTCGGGAAATCTACACTTCGCTGACAAACGACAAAGGGACGCTTTATTACCTCATCATCCGTTATATACCTCTATTTTCCATTGACTATATTGTCGGGCACATTTACTTCTTAAACCCTTATTATATTACAAACAATTATTAAGCGGCAGAACAAAGCGATGTTAGCTTTATAGGGGAGTCGATAGTGTCCGTCTATCCGTGAACACAATAACCTGTCAAACGCTTGGACCGATTTGGTTCAAACTTTGCACAGTTAACATAATATATACCACAAGTAATAAGCCTATTGAAAATGGGTCAAATCCAATGACCCCCAAGGTCACGCCTCTCTGTCTGCCAACCGCTTGAACCTGCAGTTCAAACTTTGCACAATTGGCCTATATGCCACATGTAATAAGCCTATTGAAAATGAGTCAAATCCAATGACCCCGTAGGGTCACGCCTCTCTGTCTCTGGCAAACGCTTGAACCTTTTGAACCGAAAACTTTGCACAGTTAACATATAGGTATACCACATCCACATGTAACATGCCAATTGAAAATGGGTCAAATCCAATGACCCCGTAGGGTCACACCGAGGTGCTCTGCCGCTTTTTTAGATGCTGTTTAGGGGTTTCTTTATACGTGGAGTATTGTTTTGTGCCAGCGCCAGCGTGTCCGACTCTGACACGCCGTGTCGTCAATTCTGTTACGTCATCACGCGTTAGCGCAGAAAATTGTACTCATTTATTAGTGGAGTGTTTGCGTGAAGTTTCTAAAAAATGAGCGGAAAAGAAGGAGGTGCATTTTGGAAACAACAAAAGTTAAAAAAAATACAAAAATTAAATGAAGTATTACAAAAAAAGGAAGATTCAACTTTTTTTTCCCTACCTACTGGCGGTATAGTATGACTTAGCCCCCGGCGGTCCATGAACTAAATCCGGCACTGTTGAAAATTATTGTTTTCTTATTTGGATCCTCACGCGAAGGCGGGCCCTACCACCAATAAGCTGGCATGCTTAGATTCTTAATAGTATTCCTAATCATTTCAAGGCATAACCATTACACATTACACTTTGACTTCAAATAAGTAATTAAAAGCTTTGCTTACCCGTTTTAATTGTCGCACTAAGAAATAGAAAGCAAGTAACACATTTAAAAAACTGCATTTATGACGGTGATTCCCAATCGCAGTTTACAAATACACTACTTTGTGACTTGCGATAAGTACTTCCTTTATCAACAAACGATAACCATTTATCATTACCTTTCATAAAGTGTATTATCTAAAAACACGACAATAGATATTGCTTATTATCTGGTCCATCTTGACAAATAATAATAATAATAATAATAATGCAACTAACATAACTACAACTAAAATATGGTTTTAAAATTGCTCAACATAACAATCACTACCTTAGATCTCTCGTCAAGGAACCAGACATGCTGGACAAATATGGATGGAGTCAAACGCGAACAATACCGGCACTTATAGAAATCCACAAAGAACTGACAAAGGCAGACATCTCGCAGATTTCTACGTGGAAGGCAGAAGACCAACCGTACCCCTGGGAAGTGGAAGACCTGAAAGTAATAAAAAATCTAATGAGTGACGAAGAAATACCTACCTGTAAGGAAACGCTCAATACTAGGACAGAACGTTATATCAAGAACCTGCAAGGTAAAGTCATACTCACCTCTGTCTGCCTCGCATCCAACGGGGCTGGAGTGGCCGTGTTACATGAAGGGCGTACTCTAACGTGGTTCTTACCGGAGCCAACATCACTCATAACTGCGCATAAGGTAGCGATAGTAAAAGCGCTGGATGTAAGTTGTGAGTAATACGGAACGACCTTCCATATATCCATAACATGTAAAGAACTGATAGAAAGCTTGGAGAATCCCTTTACAACTGATGAGATAACGCGTGTAATTATACAGATGTGGAACAAAACAAAACTAAGAGATAATACTGTGAAAATAGTATGGATTCCATCATCGACAGATAGCTTCACCAGTATTAAGGCAGCAGCAAGTAGAGTGACTACACATTATACCGTCAATAACTCGTTGCCAGTATATACGAAACAAGATGTGTTACGGCAGATAGGTAGACAAATGATGACCAAGTGGCAAATTGAATGGCAAGCCAGTCAACAACAGTTTAGAAGCGTTGTCCCAGTGGTTGGCAAGAGAGAAAAACGACTGACAAGGCAGGACGAAATTAAGATCCTAAGGTTGAGGATCGGGCACACCCGACTAACACACTCTTACCTGTATCTTAGCAACAGGCAACCTAGGTGCCCACAATGTAATAGCCAACCGCTAACAGTAGCCCACATCCTGGAATCATGTCAGGCTCTAGAACAATACCGTCAAGTTGCAGGAATAAGGAGAAGTCTAACAACAATGCTAAGAGAGCCAAACCTCGAGAACGCTATACAATTTTTAAAAATAATTGACGTTTACAAACACATATAGACGAAGAATCCCCTACCTCAGTGTGCCAATAACCTATGCTGTTGACGCACACTGAAATAGGGCGTAACTACAGGGAAAAAAAAATAATCATGTTTATTGGTGATATATAGGTACGTAGCTACGTATTTTCACAAGTCAGTAGAAGATAACACAATACATATGTATAACATTGAAATAATTAAATAAATAGAATGAACACAGTAAAAACATTGAACCAACAGTCATTACATTACACAGGGCATTCGAGATACCAAAAACGTACAATTGGCAACGCCAAAAGTTGGGTGCAAGGTTGCGTGATACCTTTTACATCACGTTTACTTCTAATTCTGCGTTTTTAGCATCGAGTTGTTTAAAGAAGACGTCCCAATCGCTCACCCGCTCGATTTTCACGCCCAACAATTAAAAGAGAACGGCTGAACTGATTGCGATGAAATTTTACAGATGGATTCTTTATCAAATTTGTAGATCGGAGTTCGTGAATTGACAATGTAGACCAAAAAATAAAGTAGGCCCTTTTGACATCTCCGTTAGTTATGAACCGAATTACATGATATTTTGTATGTAGGAGCCCTTTGTGAGTACCCTCTTCCGACAATCCGCTCTTGAGGTATAAGGGAATATACCCGATCACGATAAGTGGTCGAGGAGGAGAGCTATGGTTGGTAGAAATTAATTCCTTTCGTAGACCTTTCATTAGAGTACCATGAAGAATAAAACTAGCCCCCTCCACCCCGTACTTTGAGAAGAGGACAGAAAGAAGGGCAGTAGTTGGTTGAAAACGGTTCCTTTCATTGAGACCTTTAATTAGAATACAATGAGAGATTAAATTAATTAGCATCTCAGGAAATAATTCGTGGACAGCGAAATTTGATGGCCGTCTGGCACACCTTCAAGGTATAGGCTACCTACTGCAAAAAATTCCAGGACTCTAGGATCATTCCTCTAGAAGTAGTTCAAAACGGTAGAAGTGGGTCCGGACGGACGGACGGACAAAACGCAAACAATAGCACATTTTTTTAATTTTTAAAAAATGCGCTAAAAAAATGCATCATTTTAGCAATCAATATGGGTTTTACAATAGCTATTGAGCGCAAAATGATAGATTGTGTCGATTGAAAGAGACAGTTCAATTTGCGCTCGAATTACACACAAGATTTTTTCTACAATCAAGCAGTTCACGTATTTCCAAAAATTTAAATTTTTCACTCAAATGAAAGTAGTCATTTACTGGTTGTCATGGGATACTCTGAGTAATGCATATTTGATTTATAGTTTAGGGCGCGCGAGCGTTTTTTTTTATTTTGTCGCTTATAAGTAACATTCCTCGAAATAAATGACGTTTGCGTTGCCAAATACGAGCGCAAATGCCTACTTTGGATATCGATTGTAGAAAAAATATTCAATAAAGTAGATGATTAGATACTAAGATTTACTTTTTGTTTTTCTGGTTTCACGTTATCATTCTATTTTTATTGTTATTGACTTTAATAATGTTATTGAGTACTTAACAAAGTGTTTTGATAGCAACCACGCCGATATACCTATATCTATCTACCTCGTGTTCTGATATGAAATAAAATATTGATAGTCTGAACTCTGAAGTAAGGCTCATCTCACAATATAAGATTTTCGGTACCGACCAATTTTAATCGGAGGTTGATGGACAGGGTCGGTGCGGCCACCATCAGTGCGTTCGCGTCTCTGGTTCGCGTACAAATACGTTTATACATTGAATAAAAATTTTTATTCAATGGTTTATACTTATATCGCGCGGGGAACCTTCCTCACCTCGTGCCAGCGACGTCGGAAGTATGGGTCAGAGGGGGCGTCAGTTTTTACACAAGGGGGGCCGCGCCCCCTCTAAGAATGAGTAGATAAATCACTCAAAAACGACTAAGGCTCGATGCGCACTTGCGTGTTCTCAAGCCGCGTGCAAGTAGCGGGCGAACGCCGCCGGTTTAGCAGTGCATGGGCTCCAGTTACACAATACACACTCGAGCAGAAAGAACCGCGGCGGGCAAGCTGCTTGCAAGCAGCGTGTACCGGGCTTGTTTTTGGAGGACGCCGGTTTTTTGGCTACGCCGCCGTACACGCCATGGGTCTTGATACTTGATAGTACTGGTCGCACTGAGAAAGCAAACGTAACGCGTTGATAGTCATCCATTTTGCCTGGAAAAGACAGGGAATGCGTCTCTAGCAGCGTAGCGTTCGGCGGTTCGAAACCGCTCCAATGGGCAATATGTAATAACAGAAACAAGCTAAGTGCACGCGGCTTGTTCGCAGCTTGAAAACACGCAAGTGTGCATCGAGCCTAACACATCTTCTACTGCATGTGCATGCAGAAATTACAAAAGTCAAAAAGTGTAGAAGTAGAGGATATATTGAAAGAATTTGCCAGCAAAACTGCGTAAATTTTTGGATATATTTATTTTTTTATACTTGCTTTTCTTTACAATCCTCAATAGTGCAATAAATAGGAACAAAATTTTGGTAACTTTTGTATGGTCTAGTTCTTCATTATTTTTTAAATAAAATATTAATGTTCTTTTTTCTCAATCGAGTCGAGTATCTCTGAGTTGCTCAGTTGCATATCACTAGACATCCTCCAACATTTTTTTAAATTTTTTCCAAATCTTTTCTTTCAAAAATATATTATTTGATTGATTAAATAAATAGGTTTCAGAGTCACTCGAGGAGTCACTTAAAAAACCCACTACTTTGCATTAATTCGTACACAATTTTGCATGGGAGGGACTTGCTTCTTTTTGAGTCACTTTATTTGATCTACCTATTTACATATTAGTAGGTAGGTATATGTGATATGTCTCTTGTTTACGGTTCCGATAAACCAAATTTCAAAACTCCTCTTCCGAATTCGGTTCCGATATAACCACTTCCGTTACATCCCTAGTACCAGATAGTTGCTCCCCATGTTAGCTTAGAGGGTTTATAATGACACCAATCAAAAGAAGATTTTTTTCTCATCTAATGAGATACGAATTAGTTTATTTTCAGGTGCATTTCTCATTATTTTATCAAACATTCGGCAATAAATCCAATTAGCAAAATCATGTTAAGCCATGGAAATTTCCTAAAGAATTGACATAAGTTTTCACACAGACGGAATGTCGCTCATTAAAATGCACGGAATACGCGTACCTATACCTATAATAGAGTACGTAAATATTTCCTCTGTAAACGTTGTTTATTATAATTACTTTTTCCTCAGTGAACCGCATTTTACAAAAAAATAATGCCAGTTGTCATAAACTGATATTGATTTCGACATTTGAATCTGCTTTTTGTCTTATTAGTCATGGCTTAACATGATTTTGGTAAGTGGATTTATGGCCGAATTTTTGATAAAATAGTAAGAAATACACCTGAAAATGAACTAATTCGTATATCATTAGAGAGGACAAGAAATCTTTCGATTGGGGTCATTATAAACCCTCTAAGTTAACATGGGGAGCAACTATCTACAAAAACCTTTTTCCCATGTTAATTCCCTATTTTCGGTTTGAGAATATTCACCCGGTATATTGACAATAATAATACACTATTTTAAAAGTAATAGACGTACTTCTGTACCAACCTCTATTACGTGATCCAAACAAAAACTTTGTGCGCATGTATCACTAGCATGTGTGGTATTAGATATTAGCACTGTATATGTAGTATTAGCATAGAGGATATACATATAATAATATTGTATTTCCTCTATGGTATTAGTTTTTTGTCC